ATGGTTGAAGGAGGGGAGAGATGGTGGTGAGACTGTTTATATTTCTTTAAGTGTAAGTGGAGAATCAACCATTCCTTTTTAGGAGAAGGGAAGAAGGAAATGGAGGGAGAAAGGAAGGCCAGGTAAAACAGTGGGCTAATAGATGAGCTAAATCAAATGAAATATTATACTGCTGTCCAGCAATCTGTAATTTTTTTTTTCTTATTTCAGGGTATTATGAGGGTACAAACATTATGATTACATTTTATGTCTTTGCCTCACCCAAGCGAGTGTTAGAGGCGTGCCCTTCCCCTCTACAATGCTCCCCATGTCCTTTAGTTGCAGGTTTACCCCTTGCCCATTCTCCTAATCCCTGGAGACTATTACTGCCATGTGAGCACCCTAGTGTTCAACAGTTAGTACCAATTTGATGGTGAGTACAAGTGGAGCCCATTCTTCCTATCTTGTGATACCTCACTTCGGATAATGGGCTCAAGTTCAATCCAGGAAAATATAAGAGGTGCTAGATCACTGCCGTTGCTTATAATTGAGTAATATTCCATTATATACATATACCAAATTTTAATAATCCATTCATGAATTGACGGGCATTTGGGTTGTTTCCACATCCTTGCAATAGTGAATTGTGCTGCCATAAACATTTGGGTGCAGATGACTTTATCATAGAATGTCTTTTGCTGTTTTGGGTAGATAACTAATAGTGCTATTGCTGGGTCGAATGATATTTCTATTCTTAGCTCTTCGAGGTATCTCCAAATTCTTTTCCACAGAGGTTGCACTAATTTGCAGTCCCACCAGCAGTGTAAGAGTGTTCCTGTCTCTCCACATCCTTGCCAGCATTTGTTATTTTGGGATTTTTTGATAGAGGCCAATCTCACTGGGGTTAGGTGATATCTCATTGTGGTTTTGATTTGTATTTCTCTAATGATTAGAGATGTTGAGCATTTTTTTATATATTTGCTGGCCATTATTCTGTCTTCTTTTGAAAAGTCTGTTCATTTCCTTTGCCCATTTGTTGATGGGGTTGTTTGATTTTTTGGGGTTCTAGATAGATTCTGGTTATCAGCCCTTTATCAGATGTGTAGAGAGCAAATATTTTCTCCCATTCTGTAGGCTGTCTATTTGCTCTAATGATAGTTTCCTTGGCTGTGCAAAAGCTTTTTAATTTGATCAGATCCCATATATTTATTTTTGTTGCTGCAGCGATTGCTTTGGGGGTCTTCTTCAAGAATTCCTTGCCTAGGCCGATGTTTGAAAGGGTCTTCCCAACATCTTATTTTAAAATTCTTAAGGTTTCATGCGTTAGGTTTAAGTTTGTTATCCATCTTGAATTGATTTTTGTAAGAGGTGAGAGGTAGGGATCCAGTTTCATTCTTCTGCATGTAGCTATCCAGTTTTCCCAGCACTATTTATTGAAAAGAGATTCTTTTCCCCAGTGTATGTTTTTGTCAGCTTTGTCAAAGATTAGATTACCATATGTGGATGGTTTTATCTCTGGATTCTCAGTCCTGTTCCAGACGTCAATGTCTCTGTTCTTGTGCCAGTACCATGCTGTTTTAGTGACTATAGCCTGGTAGTACAGCTTGAAGCCTGGTAGACTGATAACTCCCAGGTTGTTCTTTTTACTTAAGATTGCTTTGGCTATACGAGGTCTTTTCTGGTTCCATACAGAGCGTAGAATTATTTTTTCCAGATCTGTGAAGAATGATGATGGGATTTTGATAGGGATTGCATTAATTCTGTAGATCACTTTAGGTAGTATGGACATTTTAACGATATTGATTCTACCAATCCATGAGCAAGGTAGGTTTTTCCATCTGTTTACATCTTCTACAATTTCTTTTTTTAGTGTTTCGTAGTTCTCCTTGTATAAGTCTGTCGCATGTTTCGTTAAATATATTCCTAGATATTTAATTTTCTTTGAGGGTATTGTAAAATGTATTGTGTTTTTGATTTGAATTTCGGCTTGACTGTTACTGGCGTATATGAATGCCACAGATTTGTGTGTATTGATTTTGTATCCTGAGACTTCAGGAATATGTAATTTTGAAGACATCCCTAATCCTTGTTGGATTTCATTTTTCCAATATGTAAGATGAGATGATTGAGTTAAATAATCTCTAAGCATTTTTATTTCTAAAATTCAGTGGTTAGTTCTGATTCCATCCTTTTCCCCTAAAGGCTTTTTTTTTTTTTAATAACATGTTCATTATTGTGCAGCACAATTCTGGTTATAATTACTTTCTTCAGTTTTTGTGTGTTCCAATGTATTATATTATATATATATATATATAATACAATAATATATATTATTATGTACAGATCAACTTTTGACGTAAGGTAGTGCTTTATTATTTGTCCCTTTAATGAGGGACAAATCTTTAGGATGCTGGTTATAGTGTTATACACTATATCTGATAATGGCAGCAACATAGAAGTGATTTGTTTTATATCACACTTATGTATTTTTATTGTCATTTACAGTTAGTGTATGCTTTTTATTTTTTGTCTTTTTAAAGTTGCAAATCCCAACTTAACATACTAATTTTTGGTCAAAACTTACAGAAGTAAGTTGTTTTATAATATTTCTAAATCCATTACAATTTTTTCTATTTGAGATGTTAATTCAGGAACATTTGTTGTAAAATTTAAAAATATTGGTCATGTATTTATTTTTATCATTTGCTAATTGGGCTCTTTTTAAAAGGTAGAAATACATGTTTAATGTTTCATTTAATGAGATGTGTAAGTCCTCTCGTTCAAGTTTACAGTTTTCTTCAGCTAAAACTTCTGTTGGTAGTTACAAGTACTGCTTCATACATTTTAACTGCTTCAGACTGTTAGTTTGCAGTATTCAGCACTTTTATTCCATTTCCAAGTATGTGATCTATCCTTTGTGAAAGCAACTTCAATTCACACTGTGCTGGTTCTCCTTTTCCTAGATTAAGTATTTACAGTCTTGGTCAAGGGATGTTGACAAATTATTAGGTTATATAGATATTATAAATTTGCATATCTAATTGTTATAATTTAGAAGAAAGACTTTAAAATTTATTTTCAAATAGTTGTTTTTGATTTTGTAGATGATCGGATAATATGACTCTTTAAACGTAATAATTTGGCAATTTATTTCTTTGTCCATTAGGCCCTCTTTCATTGTAATTTTTACCTACTTGAATATTTCCTTAGAAACATCTCTGTACCACATGAAAATATAATAAAAACTTTATAATTTTATAGAATAGTATGCAGTTTCCCTAAAGCCCTTTGCAATTGTACAGATAACCAGCAGGGGATCTCCTCTACACCCAGTTTCCTTCTGAGTATAGTTAATGATAGTGTCTGGGATTATAATGTTGGGGCATTTAATGGAAAATTAGAAAGTGACTTTGAAAGAATTCTTAGTTGAACATAACTAATATGATGTGATAAAATATTACCCTTATTCATAACTCTAGACATAGTTGGGGGTTAGGCGTTGTTTTAATAATTGTGTTTTAGATTGTCATGTTAATAATTACAAATTTCAGAACCCTTTGAATATAGGCCTTATGAGAAAATATGAAATGCTGAAATTGTACAGTGCCTAGCACAGTTCTTTGCATACATTATTGCTCAGAACAGGTCTTCAAAAAGAATGAATGTGAAATACCTTAATTTTTAAGTTATGATTTTAAGTAATTATTTCAATGTTAGAAAAATGCCCTTTTCTTCTCAATTCTACACCTCTTGCCAATTGGTTAATAGCAGGACCTATAGGCATTAATGGTGCATCATTTTTATTTTCCTTCATAGTAATTAGGTAGATAGGTCCTTTAAAATGGAGTTTTCTCTGAAAATGTAATTCTTAATAATGTCTTATTTCCAAAACATTATTTTGTTCACTGAAAACTGGTTTTAGAAGAAAGAATTTGACATTGTCAGTTTGATGAATGTTGGGAGCGTAATAGCTTTTCGAAACCATTTGGGAGTAGCCTAATACTTTTTAAGAAATTGATCATTATTTTCTGTTCATTTAATAGTATTTTGTTTTGAAAATTAGTTATGAAGAAATTTTAAACATTTCAGTTTAGAACTTAACAGTTAATATTTATTAATCCTAGAGATAAAGAAGTCAATTTTATAAACTCAAGGAATGAAAATAATAAGTAAAGATAAATTGTTGGGGTTAAACTGCTTTTGCATGTTACCGAAAAACAGTAACTCTTTGTTTTGTATCACTGTGTGTCAGTGTTTCCAGTGTGAGATGTTTATCTTTTATCGTATTAGAGCAGAAATATCATCAGTTCTCTATAATGTTTTATGTAAAATGTGATATTATGTTGTTTGTTTCTATTATGACAAATATAGTGTCCAGGAATTTTGGGGATTGCTTATAAAAATATTTTAATATGAACTGTTCATTTGAAGTGTTAAACACATGAAGAATAGTTTATGCTGTATACCAAATTTCCTGGGGTATAAAATCTCAGCCCTACAACTATTTTCACAAAAGAAAGGAAGTAACATTTCAGGGTATTTTTGGATATCCTTTTTGTGTGTGCATAATGAAAGTTAGAGGCAAAATATATTTTTAAGATTGTTCTTATAGTTAATGTCCTTGTATTCATAGAATATTAACACTAATTTATTAAATTAATAATTTACAATGTAAACAATACAGTCAGTTTATATTTATGGAAAAATATGTACATATGGCAGACAATAAGACATTGTAAGAGGATGATGTATAGAAATAGACTGTGAAGCTTAAAAAATTGGTCAAAAAAGCAATGATCTTTCAGACATGTGAAGTAAATACTGCATGTTTAAATCTCTTAATTTTGACTTAATGGCAAATTGAATAAATGAAAATGTTGATTGGCAAGTGGAAGAAGACTTTGGAACATATTATATTTAGTGTGTAGCTGTTGGACAGCAAATTGAAACTGACATATTTCATTCTGTGCTTATTAAAACTTTGTCTCTGTGAACATTTGGATCTTTTCTTTTTGTTTCAGGTATTTGGTTTCCAGGCAGGACTTACGTCTTTGGATTGTAGCAGATCTTACTGCTTACCTGTACCGATTATTCCCTCCTTCAGCACTGCTCTTTATGGTAAACTTCTGAAACTCCCCACTTGCTGGTAAGTCTTATGTGTTCAAATGTGGTTTATGTTAATTTTCATTTATTTAACGTAGGAGGGAAAAAAACCAAATGTATGGCTTATGCCCATGTATTAGTTTTATATAAAACCTTAGAAGAATGTCTGAAGTTGTACTATCTTTTACTGAGAAACTAAAAATCTCCTTTAAGTGGCTGAAATATGCTAGGTAGTTCATACTATCTTTTGTGATAGTAATAGCTGTTTTGGGGGTAATAATTGTTAATTCACATTGGAGGTATAATAAAATATTGCTGCCCCAGACTGTAATAGGAATTATAAGGGCAAGTTTTATTTATTTATTCATTCATTCATTTATGAGAGCTGATATAAAGATTAAAAAGAGTTGATAATTAATATCAGGGCCAAGGTATTTATCTATTAAATAATTTTCATATGTATTCATAGCCACTGACAAAAGTATATTGATTACATAGACTATATTTGACACATCTAGTAGCTACTTTTTGGAAGAAATTGATTTTAGCCCTTATTTTAATTTAGGATTGGGTTGCTTTATTTGGAGGTCACATTTCCTTAAGTACAAAGAGATTCATAGAAAGAAAGCCTATGGTTTACTAATTATACATTTTTAGTTGAAAGAAATGCTTTTAATATATTAAAGAAATAATTGTATAAATATATAAAATAGTATTTAAATATGTGAAATAATTTTTAATGAAATATTTCTACAGTTTACAATTTGAATTATTTGGAATATGTCTTCTGTATTCTTATCCTAATTAGTAAGCTTATTTTTACAGGATATGTTTTCCATTATTTTATTAAAAGTGATATAACTTTCGGAAAATGGATATTAATTTTTTTGTCTGAAATATTTCAGTAGCTGAAAATTTGTTCCTTCAATACCATATAACTTTTAAAACGAAATTAGTAAAGTAAATGCTCGCATTTCAAGGAATTTGCATATCGATCCAGAAAATTAAAAAAAAATATTATACTAATGTCTTGGAACCAATTCCTCTATAAAATCAAACAATGGAGATGGATGTAACTTTTTATTTGCATATATATGGCATGTTGCATTTGAACCAAGTTTTATATTCTAACATATTAAGAATTACCATGGGTTATGTTACTATGTCACAGTTGATATGTCCCATATTAATTTTAGTAGGTATTTGTGAACACTATTTATTATCTCAGTTATGTGCTGATTAATTTATCATTTATAAGATCAAAATAATTTTATTATAAACAGTGCCATTTACTATAGAAAATTCTTAATTTCTTTAATAAAAGCCAAAATTTTCAAAATGAATAATAGGCTTTATATGAATTGAATCAAATATTTGAATAAGTGAGATTTATTTTAAGGATATGTAGGGCTTACTCGGAATATTGTCAAATGTGGTTTAAAATATGCAGACGTCTGCAAAAAAATATTCCAATTAAACACTAAAAGCATGAGGTCATAGAATGCTAATATGTATTTGGATGTGTTTTGCTTCTTTATAGGTAAGAGTGCTTCTGCATTATTGCAGTGATATTTTTGCTATGTCTTACAGAAGTACATTGATTAGAAATAGCTTCTTGAAATCATTTTTCTTAATAAATAGAAAATAAATTATCTTTAATGTAATTACTATATTCTAAGCAACTCTAATTTGAAAATAATAAAGATAAAACTCAATACATTGAGATATAGCTTAGTTAAATGTAGTTTGAAGTTAATAAAGTACCAGATAAAATACTTCATATGGTGATTGAGTTAAATCAAAATCAGTTTGAAGACTGAAAGTTTATTAACTCATGCAGTGAGTGAGGATTATTTTGGTAAGACATCCTGGTCGTATCATTAAATGTTAACTCTGTTTGCAATTATGGTTTCTCCCTTCCTCAAATTATATACGCTCTTTCATTTGAATTTTAAAATTTCTCATTTCAGAGTTTTTTTAAAGCATATATATGATGCTATGTATGTATTTCATTCAATAATGAGAAAAACATTTTTACTACAGGTCACAGTTTTTGAAACAAAGACCTTTATATAGCCCATTGTAAAAAAATTTTTGGTAGAAAGAAATTAATTGGACAACTAAAAAATATATAGAGAAATTAGCCGGGCATGGTGGCGCATGCCTGTAGTCCCAGCTACTCGGGAGGCTGAGGCAGGAGGATCGCTTGAGCCCAGGAGTTTGAGGTTGCTGTGAGCTAGGCTGACGCCACGGCACTCACTCTAGCCCGGGCAAAAGAATGAGACTCTGTCTCAAAAAAAAAAAAAATTTGGCAGCTTTTGAGCTAGTAATGAAAATCTAGAGTTTATGTAAATTAGCAAAATAGTTTATACTTTTTATTTAAAATTATTTCTAAGTTGAACTATTATGACATTTCAAACTAATGAAGTTTACTTTAGTCAGATTTGCTATTTTTTTTAAAAATATGTGGTTTAAGATTGAAAATAAATTATTTTTCTCCCATTTAAAATTTCCTATTAATATATTGAGCCCCAATGAGTAAACTGTTAGTAAAATTTTTAGAACTTATTTTTAAAAAAGTTTTGATTATATTTTATTAATATTTTTCATTCTATACTACATAGTTTCTAAGCATATAAAAATAAACTTTTCAAAAAATTTTTTTGCTCGCTGTTAAATGTCAAGTTAACGTTTTGTTCTGGTTAGTCTCTTAGAAGAGGACTGAAATGTGTAGGATATGGTGGAAAAGACACAGTGACCAATAATATTTAATGACAGAAATCTCGGGCAATTAATTTAAATTTGGATTTACCCCCTTTTAAAATAGGAGGGCTTTTAAAGGTCACTAAAGAGTTGGTTATGGGCAGTAAGTGTCATAACCTTGTTGCCAGTAGTAGAATTAAGTCTTAGCCTTCTATATATAACAGTTTTAAACATTTCTACAGCAGTAGTGCATTTGGGTTTCCAGATAACTTTCTTGGACTTGAGTTTTATTTTTTCAACAGAGCAGCAGTAATAAATTTTCAACTTTATTTTTAGAATTTTGATTGAAATAATATATATAGAAAAGTACATATATTATGGATGTACAGCTTGAGGTATTTCATAACTGAACTGAGCCTTTGGTAACCAGCTCAAAGATTAAGAAACAGAACATTATCAGTATCCCAAAGGCCTGACTTATTCTCCCTCTTTCAAGGTTAATTACTGTCCTGATTTCTGAAAACATAGATTAGTTTTATCTGTTCTGGGACTCAATATAAGTGGAATCATAAGATATATATTTCTTTTTGACTGTTTTTTCTCACTCAAAATAATGTTTGTGACATTCATCCAAACTGTAGAATGTAGTTTTTAGATCATTTACTTTTGTCGCTGTACAGTATTCTATTACTGAACATTGATGATTTACACATTCTCGATCTGTAATTTTAATTTAAAAATAAATTCCTGAAGGTTGTATCAACTTCTTTTTTATTCCTTAGCCATTTTCCCTTTTTCTTAAGAAGTTTCAATTGTATTAGGGGAGATTAGATGTCATTCATTAAATATTTTTCACCTACCTATATTATGATACACTTTGCTATGTGTTGGGGTTGGGGAAAGAATACAATAGAATACGAAGAGTGTAAAAGATCTCCTTCCTTCCCTGACCATGAAAACTTAGTCTAGTGGGAAAGACACATATGAAAACGGTTATCTTTAAATTCCAAAACTAACTCTTACGAAGTATGTCCTATAAGTTTAAAGAAAGCAGGAAATTTCCCTGGGACATCAGGGATAGCTTACAAGAAGAGGTCCTGTTAGAAATGGGCTTTAATGGCTGAATCAGATGTTCATGTATCACTGGATACAGTGAGGAGGAATTTGGAAAGTTACTTTGAGCTTAGACTTGTACATGAATAAGGATGTCTAAGCTTAGCAGTGGATCAAAAAAAGGGAAAGAAAAAAAGAAAAAAAACCAGATAAACCAGTTAATCAAATATTCATTAGTCCCATTTCTGCCTGATCAGATTTGTTAAACTCCAACCTTAATATAGTCTTAGATTTACTTTCTCCTATAATTGAGGGTTCAGAAATGTGATTTTATTTATAGAGAGGTATATGTAATACATTTTGGAAGTTCACAGTATAATAAGAGTACCTTGGCTTATAAAGTCATGGAGAACATGAATTTTTAAGCAGGTTATTGAAGAATGAGTAGAATCTGAAAGAGAATACTGTACTTTTTTTATACAGTCCTAGGTACCTAGTTTTATAAAATTTTCATAACAACCCTATGAGGTCAGATGATATTCCCTCTTATAAACTAAAATTCAGAGAAGTTAAATAAGTTGTCCAAAGTCACATAGTGGCTGGTGAAGGATTTTCATGGAGGATTATCTGATTCCAAAGTCTTTGATCCCTTTTTTACTTGAAGGAGTGAAGATGTACGTTAACTTTTGTTAATCAGCTTTGAAGACCCAATATGCTTCTTGCTTATATACAGCAAAAATGGATTTTCAAAGATTGACAAGCTAGTTATGATAGTACAGATAATAAATCTGAACTTTGCTAGTGTCAGTTAATAATATATGGATATTATTGTAATGCTGATCTTATATAATTGTGGATATTAGCATTGGATATAATCTTAGACATTATCTCAATTACTGAGTCTTTATGACACACTTTTGATTTGTAGTCATCTATCTATCTACTTCATGGACATTTTATTCAAAGGATGTTAGCTACTTTGTGAGGTATTATTGAGCAGGTCTAAATTTCTTTTATTGAATCAAAATCTGCTTTTATGTGAAGTTCATACATGGATTTCTGCCTAAGAATAATGTTTCTTCTCTCTTATAATTGTTGCCTATGTGTATCTTGAGCCATTTTCATTCTCAGAGGAATGTGTGAAAACCCATATTTCTTTTCCAGATTGAGGAATCCCTTTAAGTACCTGTTCCTTACTTAGCACAGTGCCACATAGCTTGGTTTTAAATAGTGAAGTTTTTGAACTGTTCATTTGTAGGAGGAAAATGGTTCTGTGGAATATATCTT